TATTCAAGATGACATAGGCATTGGAAAGATTTTCCTAGTATCTTGGGCAGACAGTTAACCAGGTCAGCACTTTTTGAGTTTACTTACAACTCCCGGAATACATCAATTCGCCTACAGCATGAGATATGTTCACATCAACATCTGAAGATAAAAAATGATAGATGTGTGAAGAGAAGAGTTTTCAAATAATAATAATCCTTGCATTTGATATAGAGCCTTACCACATCTTCGAGACGTCTCAATTCACTGTATTTTTTGTAGGCGAAATGCAGCAGCCAATTGCGCACAGCGTGTGTGAAATTCCAGGCATAAACCTGTGCTATATCTCTACGCAGCAAACTATCTCATTTGAACAGACAGATAGAAGTTACGACAATCTTTTGATGAAACCATTGCTTTTATTTTTAAACTGTTTTTTGATACCAACATGGTTATTCCACCATCAGAGTGATACCTTAAAAATCTCTGTCCCTCAGAACACGATTCATTTTTTTCCAACAATATCCTCAATTTCAGGCATATTTGAAAGTCATATTATTTTAGAAAATAAGTTTATAGTTACTGAAATCCTATCTGGGTAAGATTATAGAGTCACTTTTACATCAACATCTAAAGATAAAAAAGATAAATGTGTTTGATGGATTCAGACACTCTTTCATTGATTAAACTAATACTTCAATGGAACCTGTTCTTTTAAGATTACAGATGTTAAGACTCAATGTGCTTTTCATGTGGAAACTCACTGTTCCACTTTCTCTACAATTGCTGTGTAATTCATATCAGAGCAGAAGGTGTTGAACGGAAAGCTCAAATCCTTCCTGTCTTTTGTGTTAAAATTGCCCAGGTAACTACAGTCATTAAACTCACACCATTGCATCCCTGATACCACATACTTGTAGTTTCCACAAAGTGTAAAGATTTCATAAATTGCTCTTCAGAGGAAATGATCAAAAATGAAAATACAAATTGACAATAATGGTTGCTGCACTCTAATGTTAGTGGTGACTTCATACTGTTGTACAATGTGGATTAAGATGAGTGAAAATTATACTAAAACCACGACAATCAATCTCTCTCATTAACCATAACATAAAGCTATGAAGACACCCAAACCATTGACTCAAATTACATTTGGGTCTCAGAGATGAAGGGCGATGCCTTATATTATGGTTTCCATATCCTGGACTATTTAGTTGAGTTGAAAGATTGGAATTATTCATTTTATTATCAATAATGGTTATACGCCTTGCATTTGATATGCCACTTTATCATTTTGTCTCAAAGCACTTCACAGGATTCGCAGGGTTTACAAATACTGGGTATTTGTAGGTAAATGATGATCAACACATTCAATTGATGAAGGAAGACAAAGGAAGTTAGTGAGAAATTATCTGAGTTAGCGTTTAAGGATCAACATTATTTTTATATAAAGTGTAAAACTTAGAAGTATTGAGATATCTCGAAGACATGATAAGGCACTGTATCAAATGCAAGGATTATTATTGTAAGGACACTCTTTTTGAACACGTCACTGATTTTTCAATGGCATCATCATAAACTGACTAAATTTAAAATTGATATGAAAAAAGTTGTACTTTTTTTGTAAAGTAAAATGATAACTGAGCCTCTGTGGACATGGTTTTTGAAGCAAGAAGAACTTGCTATGACACTATACCCTCACACGCACTTCAGTTACATGTGTTCTGAAACTTAAAACCTTTATCGCTCTATAGCCAAATGATAGTTTGAAGGGAATCTCATTTGGTTTTGTTTAGAAAAGCAATGAGCGGTATCTGGTCTGTACAAGTGATTCATAGCTCAGAATTTCCAGGCAATCAGCCTCCAATGTTGATCCTTCTCAGAAACATCATTGTTCCATTTTCTGCTTTATAAATGTGATCCCATTCAATGCTTCTGATCAACTATTCGCTGGAGGGGTGTTCCAAAGTCTGCCACAAACTGTATGTACAGGGCTAACTAGGTGATTGTTACACCCTTGTAAAATGAGTCCCCCCTTCTCCACCACCCCCTCCCCCCCCATGCTTTGAAGGTGTATGTTATGAACATGATTGGAAATCATATAATTTTTAAGATATATACACTTATTTGCTTTCAGACTTGTCATCTCTGATATTTTTTTCTATAACCACTGAAACTCCAACAGTAAGATGATTGGGGTCAATTAATATGAAAAAGGACACAATTTCACAAAGTACGTCAAAATTAAGTTTAATATAGTACATACATTGACACGGGTAAAAGATAAGCTTTCATGTATGTAATTCCTTCCAATGTGCACAGCACATACACCACAATATTAAACAGCAGCTGTATAAAACTACAGACACATTCTGACAGATTTAAAGCTTAAATATCACATGACAACTCTATCAAGTAATACTCTCAAAACTCTTTGCCTCTACATCTGAAAGCATAAATAGTAGGGATGTGCATGGAAACAGGCCAGTTTCACGAATTCAACCAACTTTCTTTTGACCCATTCACTGCTGCAGATATCTGTTCGACATACTGCATTCATCTTGACACAAACCAAAATAGCAGCATGGAAACAGAGCATTAGTCCATACTAAGAAGCGGCATCACATATGCAGGCGTTTTAGCAACACAGGTTCTACTATCAATTTGCAGACTGTGGCAAATGCACACATAGGAGTCTAAGGTTTGTGCGAATGAATTGGAAGAATGCTATATACTGGTTTTGGAACTGAGTTCCACTGAATCGATTACCTTCCCCAGGATGCTCGTTCCTGTCCTTAGGTTTGTGTAGAGTTTAGCAAAAAGCCAAAATGAGTTAGCTGAAGTGAAAGTGGGAATGTTTGCATACCCTGAACAAACAAAGTATTTATGCTTAGGGACAGTGGCATTGATTCAAACTACATATACAGTATTGGAAGGAACACACAACAGCAGTAATTCACTCTTGGAGCATTCACACACTAATCCCACTGAGGATAACGCAGGGCACCAGAAATGGATGTTTAAATATGTAGACCACTTAAACATTAAATATAGAAAGAAAGTGTGAACCAGGTTCTGGCGAGGTTTTGCTGATCTCACTGAACATTTTGGTTCTGAGTCGCTTTACTCCTCAAGGTCACTCTAGCTAAAACAATTAGTAAACCTTAACGTTAGAGTAAAACAAGTAGCAGCTTATCAAAAGGAATGTTGAAAACTGAACTAAACGGCCTGTTATTGTTGGATCCAGTGTTTAACTGCGGGTTTGGGAACCTCTCTTTTCTTTTTTAACTTAACAGCGTTGAGCACAACAGTGGATGTTTTAACAAGGATCTTTAGAGTCTCTGTCTGCGATTTATGACACTCCCCCCCCACCCCCCCCCCCCCCCCCCCATCCTTCCACACTTCTCACCAACACCAATCTGGACCAAGTAACAAGACCCCAATTCCATTACATGACTGGACAAGATTTTTTTTCCAAACACTATAAAGTTTTTCTCGTTGAATTTACCTTTAAGTGTAATTGTTTGAGAGTGTGGAGGGGGTGGGGGGGGGCAAAAAAAAAAAACTGTGCTACTGTATTCTTTGCTTTGAGTACTGAGGTAGGTTTGAAGAATATATAAAGAAAATATAGGGTTACGCAATGACCATATAGTGCAGCCTAACAGCTGTCTGCAAATATTTTCACCATGATTATCCCTACTAAAAGTAAATCACTGGGTAAAGATAGCTCAAACGTGACAAGGCTCAACTAGGATGCAATGGACGCCCTACTGGCTAGTTTTGGCTACATATGGAAGCATGTTGACTTAAGATCTTCTGCAATATTTCAGGAAGAAAATCTTGCAGCTATGTTCAATTGCTACGGGCAGCCTTTTTACAGGAGAATATTTTGTTCAGGATTACTAACTCGCTAACTAAGTAATAATGAGGTAGACAAGGTTTGAGCTAAGGAATGGAAAACCATCAAAGCAGCATATATATATATATATATATATATAATATATATATCATGTACATTACTGTTTTAAACTTAAAATCTGCCCGTAAAATTCATAGCTGATAACTTCATATACATCCAAAACTATAGAACAAGTCCATGGATGAATGTGACGAGCCTTAGTGATGTGAAGCCATCTGTCCCTTGAGATGCCCATAAATAGGAAGAGGAAAAAACGGTCCTTTTTTTTTAAAAAAAAAACAACATGTGGTCATTTATAATGCTAAAACCCTGGAGCTTGAAGGTGGGTTAAGGATAGCTTCTGACCCGAAAATCTGACAGAGATTGACTGCGGGAGAGATCGAAGTTCAGCACCAGCAGGTCTAAAAACAGATTGGTGGGTTAAGTTCTTCAACACTGTACTTTCCGTACCAGAAGTAGACAGATTCCATTTAAATTACATAGCCACACGACGAGCATTGTTACATGCAGACATAGAAAAAAAAATTATTAAGTGTTTTTTTTTTCTCCCCCCCCCCCCCACCCCCACCCCCCAACCACAAATGGGATTTTTTTTTCTCTGGGGGAAAAACTAAGACTTTGTATTCTGTCAAGAAACAAACACGACACTATGCCTTACATTGTACCAACATTATTCAAAAACAGTGCAATACCCATTGTGTATAGGAATTCGGTTTCACGTGTTTTTTCCCCCTCCTCCCCACCCCAAAAAAAAAAATCAGGTAATAATAGCAGCACACTGGTGACAAAATTCATTAAAAGTACCATCCATTCATCCATCCAGTCAGTCATTCAGTCATTCGCCTTATTCTGTTGCGCGATTAGGGGGGAATATAAAATCAGGCAAAACTATAAATAAATTTTCTGAACAAAATATACAGATTTAAATAATTAATTAATGGCAAATTAATTTAAATATGATACACCTACTCTTGCATAAGTCTTTCCTGAAAGTGCACCGCGTTCTCCACCCCCCCCACCCCACCCCACCCAACCCCCACCCAACCCCCACCCCACCCCCAATCAGTCTTCCCTTTACTGAGGTATCTCTGAGACGACAGACTCAAATTCTAGGTAGAAAATGAGTCACTGTAGTGATGGGAGAGACTTTATTTCCTTTCTTTGTTTTGCCATTCTTGCTTAACGCTATGTACATGGTTGGGTATTCCCAGGACTCGTAGGCATTGTAGTTGTTCGGCAGGAGAATCTCTCTAAACTTGCACTCATCATGGAAGTGTACCTGAAAGATAAGGAGGCAATTGAAACAATGGCACGTTTTATTTACTCTTGCTTTTATTCACATCACTGCAGTTTGGCCATGTTTTATGCATGTTCCCATAAGGCGACAGGGAAGAAAGGGCGCAAAATGTGACAAAAAACGACAGTATTACGTGAATATCACTCACGAGACTGCAAAATGTAATGACAAAATCGACAGTAAATCGGGGATATAACCCTAATCGTTCAATGTTGATAAAACACGCCCTAACTTTCTTGCCAAGACTAACTCTTCCATGGTTAGGATCCAAACTCAGGCAAAGCTATAAATACATTTTCCGAACAAAATAGACCGATGTATATCATGGAAATGTACCAGAAAGATAAGGAGACAATTAAAACACTGGCACATTTTGATAGGAATGGGGTCGTACAGTGGGTATTTTCCTCGTTAAATCCCACTGATTTCTCATGGTCTCGTTGACACAAAACATGATCGCACTGGTTGAAGCTTCACAGCAATTTTCGGTGATTAAACTTTTGCTCAGTTCCCAGTAGCAGCCACTTCGGAAATTGTTGGGTCTACAATATATCCAAATCACTCTGACAATTGACTCTAAATATGCCCCCACACACCCCACCCAACCCCGTTTCTTTCCTTCTGATCTTTCTAACAGTCTCTCGAAGGCACAAAAACACTAGTCGTTACAATGGGTCCCTTGACTATTTCAGAGACTAACTTCTATATCTGTGAGATGTTCATTCCGGTATCATTTTTTAAAAAAAAACAAATTGGCTTTGTACAGCTCCACCAATATGCAGTAAAGTACAGAGTTGTCATGAACTTCCCAAACGCTGTTATCCATTTGTACACATTCCATCAAGTGCTTGAGAGGGTTTGGTGCTGAGAGAGAGCACACATTGAACGAGAAGCCTCACGTGTAAAGTTAACACCAGATTTCCACTCGGAGCAATCTCTGAGATGATTGCAAAACGCAGCCTCACTTGCGAACCAGGCGAGAGTTGTTATTTTAAAATTGTTTTCCCACGAGTATAAGATATATTTAAAAATCCTCGTAGCAATATTTTAGGATGAGAGGATATGATACGATTATAGCCACGATTCTCTCTCTCTCTCTCTCTCGCTATGTGGGAATAAAGAAATTTGCTCTGTAGGTTGTAAGGCTGTACAATATGGGTGGTCCACGTTGACTGATCCTATTTTACACTGGGGAGGACAGCAAGGTACATGTGCTGGCTGGCAATGCAAAGAATGGAATGCACTTTGAAAGACGGACAAGCTGATCCACAGCAGCATCCAGCTATATTTCACCCTCCCTGCACAATAAAACAACATATCCCAGGGCTGCAAGAATGCAAGTCCTGCTGAATGACAATGTAACACAGATATGGAACCCCTTTGTCATCATTACTATTGCACTCGCACATAATCAGCAAGAGATGTATGAACGCCCAGTAAGTAGACTGACTGACTGACTGACCTGAGGTGGGGGGAATAGTTTATACTTACAGATCCGTAAAGCTTGCCTTTGCTATTCATGGCTACAAACAGCCCACCTCTAACACCAAACAGGCTGACCACACCTCTTTCCACTGGAGAGATTTCTAAAAGACCTGGTAGAGGGAGGAGGAAAATAAAGACACGTTTAATGTGCTATTTATTGCCTTTTATTACAAAACGTCAACAAACCACAAGCTTGTGGTGGGATGTATCTGATGCGTTTGATCTCATGAAAACAATGCTGTCTAATTAAAAAGCTGCCCCCATACAGTAAACTCTGCAGGTTTTCATCAAGGTCCAGATGCTGAGAGTGTAAGAACACCTGATTCTTTCCGACATCAGGAGGAGGAGAAAAAAAAATCATCGCTCAAAGCCATTTGATTTAAGAAACGAGTTACGTAAAGAGTTCAAGCAAGCGTGTGATTAGTGTCTTCAACAGAGAGTCCAACTGCCTCTCCCTTCATGGGAAAACTGACAGAAACAGTAACTGCTGTTGGATTTCAAACATCAAATGCAAAAAGGATATTTATATTTTAGGAGCAGGGATTAGCCCGGTCCAGTTAATTTCTGCAGTGTAAACATCAGTTCGCATGCACTTTAATGACTGTACTTTGCAGTAACACGTCTGTTAGGAATAACCCCAATAACCCATAACGCTGATCAGACGCACAATCAGAGCCACTTGTTGCAATGGTGGATCTGGAGCTTTGCAATGACAAGATATTCGACCACAACTCACTTGGCTACGCATTTCTATTGAAAAACTGCAACGATTGATTTTCTCCCTCCACCCCCACGCGTTCTCCTTGCAGCTTTCAAGTTCTTTTTTTTTAATGTATATAAAAAGGACAACCCTACAACATTTCGAACAGCGTTTAAAAGCGCGCAAGTTACCAAACCAGGGGAAAAGTTCCAAACTTCTCTACTGCTTCATTACATATCTGCCATAGAGATTGAAGCCTTGTGAAAAGTACTAAGACTTTCTATCAATCCGTCTTTTTTTTAAAAAAAACACAAACAACACCGGATACAATACAATACAATAGCAGTTCAACAGTTTATGAACACAGTACTGTATGTGCAATGACAACTTTTAGTGGTGAACCGCAGTGCAGTACTTACTATAGCGATTCTCAGTGTGTATCCCATTTATCCTTCCATCGGGCAACACTTGGAGGTGGAACCCGATGCCCACGTTGCAGTAAAGCCTCCGCAGCCTTTTGATGCCCACCAAATAGTCAGTCTCCCGGCTCATCTCCTTCCTCTCCCCGGGGATTCGAGACATGGAGCGGGACAAGAGAGTCTCCCACCGTCGCTCCAGGGTGGCGTTGGGCTGGGCAGAGAGAGGGGCGCAGCGTACCAACCCGGACACCAGCCCAAGGAGCAAGATTGGCAAGAAGCAGGATTGCATCGTCGCCTTGCAGGACATCCTGATCAACATGTGCACACGTGGGTGGGAATCGATTGCAACTAAAAATACTTCGACTCTCGCTCCACTTTTCTTGGGGGCTTTTATTTTGGGCGCACATGCACTTTACACCCGAGAAATGAGCCGGTGGTCTTCAGGCTTGCACGGGCTGCATTGGAAACGTCCTCAAGTGATAGCCGATTTGAGGAAGGGTGAATCTGAACTTGCTGGTGTCTGCGTCAAATTATGGAGCCTGGAGTCAGAGGAGAGCTCTCTGTGAAGTCTTGTTGCTCTATCAGTGCAGCCATACCGACTACCCACTGCCCACGATATTTATATCCAACTGCATCGTTACCTATTACATCACCACCCACTTACCCCACTTTACGCTCATTCAATCCAATTTACCGAATTCGCATCACCTCTCGACATGTAACGCGCCAATGCTTCGCCCACTGTGTTTGGGTGCAGAAAGGGGGGGGGGAAAAAGTAACTTTAAAAAAACACTATTTCTGCTTGAAGGGAATAAGTTGACGGAATGTCACATTTCGCTTTGGTGTCTGATCCCGGCGAGTTAGCGAATGCGAATCAGCGTGTTGTATGTGTCAAAATACAGCGACTGCCTCCAGGCGCAAATACACACACACACACACACACACACAGACACTTTGGGGAAGAGTTCAGTATTTTTAAAACTTTCCTGGTAGTCTTTTTTTTTAATGGCGTTGTCTTTATTTTGTTGTTTGGTTTTATTGGAGGGAAAATCACTTCTGAATCGCAACACGGACGCTGAGACGTCTCAAAGCGCTTCACAGAATATATTGTCAAGTGGATTGACTGTGTGTTCTCCGGAGCATATAAGAGAAAATTAGTGGCTGCACTTTATTAGTTGGATACCATACTATACCATGCAAACTGCACACAACGTGCATATAACACGCGTATTATATGGAGATACATATATTCAGAATGTTTAAAATTGCAGGACATGGGGATTACACTGCAATAAAAGAATGAGTCAATTAATTCAGGCAGATGACATTATTGATCCTCTGGCGTCAGTATAAGAATTGATAAGCGATTAAAATCAATTATCGTCATATCTGAGGTTCTTTCCCCCCCCTATGGAATAGTGAAAGGGTAGTTATGTGTGAACACACGTACATCTCTTCGAATCCTGTAACTCCCACTGAAGTCAACAGGTGGGAAGATGTCAGAACCATTCGAATATATATATAAAAAAAACCCCACTGCACTTAAAGCAAGAAGTATTTGTTCAAAGTGAGTCAGGGCTTTGCACCCAGCGGTAATTTAGCCTTTTCGCTTGGGCAAAAGAGCATTTGCGAACCCCCCGCTGCTCAGGTAAAGGATGTCACGGAAAATAGGATTGCCACAGGCGAGGTGACAACTCGCTATAGGTGCGAAAAGCATTGACCTTCGCTAAACCGTTGTGCAGAGATTAGATGAGATGCTCTTTTCAGTGCAACACGTATATGTATGATGAATGTTTCTCGCCACGTTTGCCTGCCATGACGGAATAGGAAGAGACCTGCAGTTTCCAATGCACTTGCTTTGGGTATGTATTGATGTCTGGGTGTGTGTGTGTGTGTGTGTCTGTCTGTCTGTATGTATGTCAGTCAGATATGGTTAGGATTCAAAACTGGTGCTTGCTTGTGTAATGCAATTTGCATCATTGGTCTTTACTTTAAGGGAAAGGTGTTTATGGTGAAAAGGTGACACACTTTAGCGATTTGCCCCACCTCGCCTGGGTGTCACTTTTTTTTAAAAAAATGCAAAAAGAAAGAAAAGAAAAAGTGTGTGTGGGGGGGGAACAATTGAGTGCAAACGGTGTTGGGGTTCACGATTTAATCTATTTACAGCAGGTTGCCTACAATTCGAAACAAACCGACCCAGTTTAATTAGCTGCATTAATCAGAGAAGAGAGAAAGTTTGGTCTGAGACTGGTTTGGGGGGATGGTGATTGGGAAGCTCAAAAGCCTCTCTCCAGTTGACTCCAGATGGAAATCTTTTGCTCAGTTCAACATTTCTTATAGATAAATATATATATGTATATATATAAAGCAAACAGGCGGCTCTAGTGATTCCCACATCCCCTTTTTAGTATAAATTAGTCACCGAGCAGCAGATTCGCTTGACAACGTTTTCTCACGTTCACGACTGGTTGGTTCTGTACATATATATATAAAAAAAAGGGCAGTTGACATGGTCCAGGCTAGTGCAGGAATGTGGACTGCCCTGGTGGCTCAGCCCGAATAGCTAACAGTCTCTCCCTCTCCTGGACCTTCTTCCCTCCCTCCTTGTCTTTTTTTTCTTTTGCACAGAAGCCCGGGTTCTTAATGAATCGGCACATTTGATCTGCCCGCCTTGGAAACTCGTGTATCCTCTGCTCAGTTTGCTCAAGATCACTTGCAATCGATCATTTTTTTCCCCCCCCACCCCTAAGAGGGAATGGTCTTGGAGCGCATTGAACAGTGCAGCCAACGGTGATGGCAAATATCACAGCTATACTGACTGTCCTGTACTGTACCAGAATAAGATTCAACATCTCATTGAAATAAAATAAACTTTTACATCTGGATGCACACAGATAACGTTGGGAGAGTTGGGGCGATTCCGTAGCAGTATCGTTCGTTATTTGAGCACTGTCTGAAAGTTTTGGATTTAATTGATTCATTGTTTTTCACAGTTAAGGTATTTTCTTTCACGCAGGTCGTGGAAGTTGTGTTCATTGGCATATCGCACTGAGTGAGCATCACTTACTTAACCATTTGGAACTTGCTAGCTACCAGTTCACTGGCTTACATGACACTGACACACTTCCAGTGACCATTAATTGGTTTTTTTCTTCTGCTTTCTTACTTAATAAATAGATTTGGATCTTAAACTAACAGTTTCTTTTAACTGCTGGTCCCCATCTCCCCAAATCTGTGCACCTGTTTGCCTGACTTTCCTTTGAGATCATTGAAGTCTTTTGGGGGATTTTGTTTACGTCTATTAAGACTGTAGTTAAATCTTTGGACTCTTACTTGTGCATTCAGGAATCACATGCAGAATAATGAAACTAGCCTTTTAAAATAATAATGAAAAATCACCAGATTCATTTACGGTAACACTGAATACTGTATTAAAGTTTAGGGAAAAAAATGAAAGTTTCTCCTTTTAGTTTTCTAAATGTTCAGCCAGTTACCACCATTACAATTCTGCGTCTTTATATGACAAGATTTAACTTGCAATTAGTCAAAATCTATTGCAGTTGTTATTATCTTAGCCAAACTGATAACTCAACAATTTGCTTGTTAATTTTGTTTGACTTTGATGTGAAACAAGTTTTCAGTCTCTTTACATATACAGTCTGAGCTATATATACACTCTACCTAATTATATCCTTTACCAAAGGATAGAGCTGCAGGCTTAACCCACTCCAATAAGTTTATGCACACTTGATCTTCATGTTTTGACAACTGAAACATCTTTTGACCCAAAAAGTACGATTTACCTCACGAACATGTGTGGGTGCTCAACATGTGGTGACCTATACCGTACGCTATGATTCATCCTTAAACTAAGAGATATTGTGATGAAAACTTGTCTCTTGTAACTAAATGAAGTGTAGTGCAAAAGGTTAAAACAATATAACACATTTTACCACCAATCTGTCAAAACATATAGACATGAAATGCTAATTCTATGCACAAATTCCACAGAATGGTTTATTTTTGTAATCCAAAAGGTGAGCTGACAAGATTGTGTCACCTATGACTTGGCTTAGTTTTTTGGTGTGTGTGTGTATGTGTGTGCGTGTTTGTCTGGGGGCGAAGGAGAGAGGGCATCTGATATGAAATGTGCACTCATACTTGAAAACGTGTGCAGAGCTATGTGCATTTCCAGATGTTACGGATACTTTAAAGAAGATGATTGTCCTATAAAATCAAAGCAAGGCACCACAACTGGGGTAATAACCAAACATGATTTTAAGCATTGGGTGACAATTAGGGCACAATAACAGAGGAGGTATCATTTGAGGTAAACCATAAACATCACAAAATAACCATTTGATATTCGCTTCCTCCCTCGCCGGGCACTGGCCTGCTCCATGTCCTCCACCCTGCCTGCCTCACCACCAATGTTTGGGCCTTCAGCCTTTCTGACACCACCCTTTGGAACTCCATCGCAAAGTCACTCCTACTTGCCCCCTCCGAATATACTTTGCCACGATCTACCTGTATTAATCGTCAATCTAGACTTTGCACCTCAGTTGAGTTTTATCCACCAAATGATGAAGGAAACAAAGCTAGATCTTCTGACCAAATAACCCAATATTTCTGTTGTTATTGCTTTTTATACATCTTGATTTGTTTCCATGCTGAATAAGTTCCCATTAACTTATTATGTCTTTATGTTTTAAGTTGAATTGTATCCAGCAAAACCCAAAGTAGTCAAATATTTTGTAATGGCATCTTAGGTATATGTACAAACAAATGATCCCCAAATACAATTGACCTACTCAATTTTTCCACAATTGCAATTCAATTTATATTCGGTAACTTTAGCATGGGTTTGTTTGACGTATTCCTCTGTATATATGTTGGATATACTATCACTGTACCATTGGAATGCATTCTGCTTGCAGCTGCTTGATACTCTCAATGGATAACACAGCTCTGCTTACCAGCTTCCAACTGAGGGTAGTTTTTTAAGTTAGAAGAGAGCTGCTATTCTTTCAGCTCTTTTGAAATATTAAATATTACCGTCTCTAAGGTAGTTCAGCACACTCCTTGAAAAGTTTGCAAGCATGGCTATGACAGTTGTATTAAAATTGACAAGATGTGGACTTAATAAGAGACCCTCTACAGGGGTCGCAAGCCACTACAGAAAAATTTGATTAGCTCCCAAATTATTATTGGGAAATCACAGTTTTTCTGCATTTCTTGCATTGATGACTGCTACAGCCTGATAGGTAAGTGAATGAACATGTTACAATAGGTGCTCCTGAAAATGGAGAAAGAAGAAGA